AGTACTTGAAAAACTAGAAGAAACTATACAAGTGACTTAATGGTTTTCTGAAACAGACACAGAACAGTTTAAATTTGAACATCAGCAAAGGATTAGTCCTTAGTGAAATAGATTTGTGTAAATAATTGGGTTTTTAAGGAAGACTTAACAAAACACACATCAGACAGAAGCATCTGAAGGAAATAGTTAACAGTAGGGTTGGGAATGACCAAGACCAAGAAATGCATAGGGATTGGCAAAATATGCATAGTGATCCAAAAAAGAAGAGAGGTGAGAGAAGAAATTATTTTTCAGAAAATGAGAATTACAGACTCCAAAATCGGGACAGTGAAAATTCTAGAAGAGATAGATCAAAGTGAAGGGAAAAGACTAGAAAACATGCAAGCTCTAAAAGTGATGAAACTAGGTATCAGAATGGTGCTGAGAGATGATGCGAAAAATCCAGCAGACATTCTGAATATTCCAGAGTCAAAGGGAAATCAGAACTGGAAAAGAGAAAGGTAATTCTATAAAATAACATAACAGAACTCACTTTATATTCAGTTCAAACAAAGTATTTTTTACAGTGATGAATGTTATAAGCTCTTATAAAGTACTGCTTTGTATTTGTAAATTTTTAAATGTTTTCATTTTAACATGTTTTATTATTGATACATTCAAGTGCATCCATATAAAATTATTGGGAGAGAAAAGTCTCAACCAAAAAGGAATGTAAGTTTTGCTTATATTTTGTGAATAAAAACCTGCCTGGTAAGCACAAGGTCCTGATTTCAATCCCCGATACAAAAAAAAAAAAAAAACAATGAAGCTCACACCACTGGCTCTTCTTGGGTCTCGAGCTTATAGAATACAGAACTTAGGACATTTCCAGAATCATAGGTACTAATTCCTTGCTACAAGTGCTTTCAGTACTAGGGATTGCACCCAAGGACTTTTAGGAAGCTACATCCCCAGACTTTCTCTCCTGAGACAGAGTATAACCAAGTTGATCATGATAGGTTTGAACTTGCAATCCTCCTCTTCAGCCTCCCTGAGTGCTGAGATTATAGGCATGTGCCACTTGTTTCTGTTACTTTGCCCAATATTTTTTATTTAGAAAGTTTGGAAGTGATGCATTTTCATTGATTAAAGAAGTCACTCAAAATAACGATACTGTTTTATTAATGTAATACAAATAGTTTACATTAGGATTTTGTGTCTACTAGCACCCTGAAAACTCTGACGTATCAAGCTTGGAAAATTGGCATAAAAATAGGGACTTGGATAGATACAAAGGATTTTGGATGATGACAACTCCCAATAAGCAAAATACAGTTAGGAAGAGAAAATATTTCACAATGGCAAAACCCTTACTTGTGAAGTATAACTATAACACCTTCTTATATCTGAATTCCAGAAAGTTTGATTGCTAGTGCCAGAAACTAAGTGAAAAATGTGAGTAAATGCAATAATGAAAACATATTTCTGTAAGTGATACATTAGCGAAAAAGTCTGTAAGAAAATAGTCATCCTGAAATACTTTTTTTAACAACTCCATTTCAAAGATACATATTAAAGACTACTACTCTAGTACAGACTAAAAAACTAGGTTTTCTCACCTAAATTCACAAGACTGAAATTTGGACTATCAAGAGCACCAGGGGGTGTGGTGGGAAGAAGAGGAAGGAGGAGAAAGAGGAGAAGAGGAGGAGGAGGAAGAAGGAAAAGAAAAAAGGGAAAGAAGGAAGGAAGGAAGGAAGGAAGGGTGGAAGGGTCTAAAATGCATATTTAAGGACAAAGTAAATTCCCCAAGGAGTTAATGATAAAAGTTCTTGTCATAAAGGAACTGTTTCCATACAGGTCATTTGGGAATCAAGATGTAAGAAGATCAAGACTGTCAAACACTAAAATTGTCATTTTTAAAGTGTGACCCTTGGTTTAAATATTATTTGGTACAAATCCACTGACTTGGAGGAACCATAAACCTAGAAGTTTACTACACAGTACTTGCTGGCACAGGAGATGAGGCAGTACAGTGTCTACAGCTTTGAGGGGCTCTTGGTTAGGCACAAGAGAATTAAAAGGCAAGAGCAAAGATGCTTAACCTCAGAAAATGAATCATTTTATTCTACCGTTGTAACTGATTTTCCAACCAAATGAACAGGAAAAACTTTCTCCCTCAAGAATAGCACAATTAACATCAGAGAAAAAATAGTGGAATTCTTGATAATGATTCAGTGATGGAGCTGTTTAAGGCATTCTACATAGAATTGCTAGGAAAGAAAACTGAATTCTGTCAAAGTTACCCCACCTTCATCCCACCCTATCAATCCTATTTATGTGGCAAAAAATGCAATAGATTAACTCAGAATCCAAAACCTCAGTTTTTTGGACAGAAGCAAATTGGCCTTGATGGGAAGTTCCACAAAAGTCTAGAACATCAGATTTTGAGAGTTATGTGGATCACCTCACTAGTTCATTTAATAAATGTTTATACAAGGCACAGTGGGGTCATAAAACTTCATGAACCCAATCAACTGTGGGATCACCACAGTCAGAAAGTATAGACACAGCAGTAGTAGGACATCATAAAGTGCAGGCTGATGGAAACTAGCAAACCAGCAAAACTAGAGGCCCATTTAGTTCCAGTGGGTGAGAAGAAAATACTCAGGTCTTCCAAAAAACTCTCCCATAGGCTGGGGATTTAGCTCAGTGGTTTCATCGCCTGCTGCGTAAGCACAAGGACCCAAGTTCGATCCCCAGTACCAAAAAAAAAA